TGCGATCTGCTTACCTATTTCCGGGCCCACGTGGGCTTTGATGTCAGTGGTGTTTCAGAGCATGTTGCGGATGACCCCTATAGTGAGGGAGGCCAAAGGGTCGGGTAGAGTGTTGGTACCCTCAGAGTTTGAGCCCGATTCTTCCGTGGCCTGGGAGCATGCAGTCCTCCGTGGGTCACCCGGTGTGTGGAGCAGCGAGGCTTCCGACGGGGTGATTTCTTTCTTTCCTTTTTTTATTTTTATTTTTTTTTATTTTTTTTAACCGCCCATCTTAATGAGATTTGGGCAGGGTGTTTTAAGATTGTGGGGCTCGGAATTGGGGTCCAGGTGGGACAGGGGATGCAGATGGTAGCGGATTCAGTGCTTTGGGGAGAGGGAGCTATGAAATCAAGCGTCCATCTTCCTCAGAGGTCAACTCATGCTTATTTTTTACAGTTATACATAACTAAAACTAGGGGCTACGTTTGTTGATATAGGATGTAGCTTCAGTAAAGTTAATCTGCCCATGTCAACTTTATAATTGACCATCAAGGTCTTGACTCACTTCACTACAGTATCGCATTGATTCTGGGAGTGATGCATCATGGATCTTCTGTGTTTATGAATCTGTGTTTAGAGTCTACACAGTTCCATCAGTGTGCTGGGTGTGCTTGTGATTTCACACACATGCCCTAGGAGCTATAGGATGGGATTTCTAGTGGCCGTCATCTTAGAAACACTAAGATGGCAGCACCATGGAAAGCTAACTTGCTGGCTAGACTTGTTCTATAATTCTTGGTTGTAAATAGTGGCAGAATTAGAGGCAGGTCAACTGGTACAACTGCACCAGAGTCTTAATGAGTTTGGGGCTCAAAGATAGGGCACTACGCTGCTGTTGCCATGGGTCCTCCTTGCAACGATGGCAACACCAGCAGTTCCCACTGCAGTGTGTGTGGGAGACAGGGTCACACAGCAATGATCATTTAGAGCCTCAGCACATCGCAGCCCATACAGGGCTCTCAAGTAAGGAAAGAATCTGAGTGCAGATTATGCCATCCATGTGTTGTGCTGTGTGGAGGATCGTCAATTCATAGCTGACTGGTGAAAGTCAAGGAGAGGTGACTCACCATAGCCAGCCCACTGCCAGTTAGCGGAAGTAGAGAGGGGAAAAGAAAGAAGATTGTTATCTGATCTGGAGACAGTAGGGAACTAAGAGGAAATAGAGGCTGCACTGGTGAGGCCTGAGCTATCCTGCACATCATGCTACAGCCCCCTCAGACTCCCATCAGCCATAGCCAGATCCAACTAAACCTTAGGGTAACCATGCTCCTGGACTAAAAATGTATGGAAACAGGAAGGTGGCTAAAAAAAAATATTTAAATTCTGACTAGCATATGTGTAAGTGTTTTTATCTGTGTGTGTGTGTCAGTATTTTTATGTGCATATGCATCCTAGCATTTAAATGCCAACACTACACACATTTGCAGCCCTACATCTAAATGCCAACGCTACACACCGACAAATGCATTCAAATGCCAATACAACATATCTACACATCCCTGCATTCAAACACAAACACACAACTGCATTTAAATGCCAACACCACACACCAATACACCCTTAAATTCAAATTCCAAAACCACACACATAAACATCCCTGCATTCAAACACCAACTAATGTAGGGTAATAACTGCTTGATCCAAGGATAAATCTGACTGCTATTCTGGGGTCAAGAAGGAATTTTTTTCCTAGCTTGTTGCAAAATTGTGCTTCAAACTGGGTTTTTTTTTTGTTGTTTTTTTTTTTTTTGCCTTCTTTTGGATCAACAGCAAAAAACAAATGTGAGGAAGGCTGAACTTGATGGACGCAAGTGTGGGGGTTGGAATGTGGAGTTGTAGGACAGCAGAGGCCATCTACTTTTTGGCCACCATTGCACTTCCTGAAAGCCCAACATAATATCTTGTTCTCATTAGTTTCACCACTATTCGAAACCTCCTAGTAAAGGGACTGTCTGTCAGGATTACAAGTGGATCCAGCAAACAGAATTGTGTCACACCTAGGACTAAGGATAACATATAATCAGACCTTAGAATGGCTGGACTTAATGTATCCAAGAATAATCAAAATACTAGCCGAGGTCAGGAACACAGAATCAGACACAATGATGAGGGAAAGCCAAAAGTCAAGGATACCAGAATTCAGGGAAGTCAAAACGAAGCCAAAGTCAAATACCAGAAAATCCAGATCAGGAACCCACTCTCGGATTACCATCAGGATGAAACCACGACAGGGCAATGAGCAAAATGAGAATTGGGTTTAAATACCCCTCCTGTGGATCCGATTGGCTGTAACTGGCCTTTGACCCCAAAAGCAATTACCAGGTTTCCATTTGCATAATGGCTGCTCAGCACAAACCCTCCTGTGGATCTGATTTGGCCATGACCGGCTTTTAACCCCAAAAGCAATTACCAGGCTTCCATGCTCGGCACAAATTTTCCTGCCAGGACGGTAAATGCTATTAACCACATTTTTATGTGCGGATGAATACGTGACAGTCTACATTGGATACCTTTACTAAATATATATATATATATATATATATATATATATATATATATATATATATATATATAAATATATAATCAGGGCTCGACAAATCCCTGGTCGCCATGGAGACTAGAAATTTTGCCCTGCCGTCAGGGATTTGTCATCCTTTTCCCTAAAGTCACCAGCTGGGCAAACAATGGAGCCAGCCTGCTGCCTGCGGGAGCATGGAGGCCGCTGGCTCAGGGAGCTTTGTAGCCGACTGCCCTGGGAGGTATAGAGGGGCAGCGAGGGAGGGAGCAGTCTTCCTGCAGCTCTTCTCTGCTCTCTCTGCTTTGTAATGATGCCAGGAGCCGAAATGTGTCATTCCAGTCCCAGCATCATTGCAGACAGTGTGTGTATGCTTGTGTCAATGTGTGTGTGAATGTGTATGTCTGTCAGTGTGTGCGTGTGTATGCCTGTCTGTCAGTGTGTGCGTGTGTGTCTGTTTAGGTACCTGCCCCCCTCCAATTACATTATTGGTGTTTTTACTCACATTTTTTCCCACGCCTTGCTGGTTTCGCCTTAGCTTGTCCCGCCTCCATAGCTGAGATCTTAATGATCTCAGCTAAGCCAATGATTTCCCATAGGAAAGCATTGAGATATTACGTATGTTCTCTACGGGTAACATTCAGCGCCTCCATGCAGAGCACTGACACAGAACTCTCTAGTGGCCGTCTGAGTGACTGTCACTAGAAGTCTTAGTAGGCAGCAATGTAAACGCTGCATTTTCTCTGAAAAGGCAGCGTTTACATTGTACAGGCTACAGTGACAGGCTATAGGTACCAGAACAACTACATTCATCTGTTGTAGTTCTGGTGACTATAGTGTCCCAAAAAAAAAAAAAGGCTCCTAACTTTTTTAGCTGGCTCCTAGATTCCAAACAAATTTGTAAAGCCCTAATATAAACAATACTTACAAAACCTTTGCTATGAATGATTCAAAGGTGGCAGGATTTTCTTCAGTCACAGTGTGAAATCTTCATCTAATCTCACACACTAGGCTACTGACAGGGAGCAATGTTGAATGCCTTCATCAGCAGCAACTTAACAGAGTTGTGAATGTTTGAAAACTCTGAGCAGGGAAGTAATAAGGATCGCCTGCCTGCAAGTAGTCTTAAGGTGAGAACTGGTACTGATGCGAGACATAATAAGTAGATCTATCTTTTATAGAGAGTGTGTAGGGAGGCTGTGTGATTGACAGTCATTGGAGGCAAGCATGCCTAGGGTTGCAGAAATTCTGTCATTTAACTACAAAATAACAGACAATATAGCAGTGAGATTACATGGGAATTATACATGTACCAAAACCACTTTATTCCGATTAAGTGGGTTTGGTGCTTAGACTAAGTCTTAAAACTAGCCACCAAACTATTCCTAATTTACATTGCTAAAAGCTTGAGGAAACCACTATTGTTTAACAGCAGAGAATGATAGGAGTTGTAAACCATTCTTTGCCCTCTATAGCTCTCAACATGAGCTGCAACTTGCAAATTCACTTTAAATGTCACTAAAATCACAGAATATAAAAGCTAAGATTATATAGTAGGACTTTTTTTTCCAGGTTGAAAGCTTAAATCAGTAGATCATTGCTAATGGCCCCGTTAAATATACATTTGTGAGTGCAGCTGACAAACATGGCGTAAAACGTATTGGAATTTCTGGCTCCATAAAAAGGTTACATAAATCAAGGGCTTGGCAGCATTTGTTAATACTGCAATGCCAGAATATTTGCATGACATATCCTTGGCATTACGGGTAAAAGAGGCACATTATTGCTACATTATAAGTCAATATGATATTTAAATGGCTATTAGACACCTAGAACATTTTTAGACCAAACTTCAGATTTTTCCCATAGATTCAGTGTATTTTCTTATCTCAGTCTATTAGTCTTTGTTGCAGATTTATCTTCTGTGTTTTGAGTTCATTAATGAACCTCTAACTGCCTGCTACTTTGCACTTTGAATATGGCTACCTTGTTAAAAGCCATGGCAAACCAGATCCCAGTACATGTATAGAGAGCAAAATAAGTTTTTCTATTCCTTACTGTCTTGATATAGTATTCAGTGCTCCTTAGCGTTTCTTGACATTAACCCAAATTAAGTACATGCTATTACCTAGGTGATACAATCTTGATTTGTAATGTTATCTCGGTAATCCAATTTTTTATGACTGATCCTTCTAAACTTTGTGTAAGAGGATCTTTATATGAACCACACAGCTCTCTCATACATCTCAGATACAGAAATATCATATATATATATATATATATATATATATGAAACATGGGGGGGTGGTTGCACTCACCTGAACATGCCTAACCCCTTAACAACACATGAACGATATATTCCATCATGATTCCCTTTTATTCCAGAAGTTGTGTCCTTAAGGGGTTAAATGGGGTGCTGCTGGGGTCATATTATACAATACACAAGATCCAGCGCACTCTCCCATCTACTAAACAGCAACTTCAATGTTTGCAGATCTTATTCGGTTTTTTTTGTTTTTTTTTATAAAATCTGCAAATATTGAAGTTGCTGTTTAGTAGATGGGAGAGTGTGCTGGATCTTGTGTATTGTTTACAGAAATATCAAACTGGATTTGTAGTGGGCGCTGGTGGAGGATCCAAGTCTGATGGATTGCTGAAAAAGATGTGCATTTAGAGCAGAGATGGCATCTTGTGTGGAAATGTATTTTGGTGCCATCCCAAACTAAGCATATATTCATATACATACACATTCATATTCACACACACACGCGCATTAATATACTGTACATGTAAATAAATCATTTCCATATAACCTACTTGGACTGCAATTCATAAAACTCTGGGAGTGCTGAGGATCATAGAAATTGATGTGTATTACTAGCTGTTGTTGCTCAGCTCCCCCAGGGAAATGCACTGCTCTGCTGAAAAGTGTAGGGCTTGTCTCTGGCACTCCCCAATAAGTACACACTCATGTGCCCAGTTCTTCTTGCAGAGCTCCCTCCACCTAACAGATCCTGGAGTGAGTGTAACCTCATTCATGGGGTCCAGTGGCTTATTAATGGGATACACCATATTGCTGACCAGCTCCTTGCCACTCTCTACTGATGCCGGGACTGGAGTGACTACACATTGCGGCTCCCAACATCACTACAGGGCATGTGAGGGAGCTGGACACTTAGTACAAAGATCCTAGCCACTTTGTAATCATTAGCTCTTAGTCTAATCCACAGCCACTTAAAACAAGTTGCACAGCAGATATCTCCATGTGGCACCCATACCAGCAAAGTGGGCAGCTGCCTGCTCTGTGCACCCACCTGACACCTGTGGCAGAACACTCAAACAGCCCCAGTTTAGAAATTTATTGATTTAAAGATGATTCTCTTCTTTTTTCATTTATTCTTTTCCCTGTATATTATAATGAAATGTCTCTAAAATGCATTAAAACAAGTATCATGAATATTCTGAGTAGCATCATGAACCTATTTGACAGATAAAGTTGGATTTACCAACCTAATATCACAAGACCAATTTTGAACCCCTCCATAGACATTCCATTACATACCCTAAGTAACATAGCTCGACATATACTGAGATCTCAATGTTTGTGCTTCATCTTTCTTATTGGCAAACCTACTGACAGTCTGTAGAGTCAGTATTAGCTCTAGCCCCAAAAACATAACCGCAAGAGTCGGTGAAATACAAACGTGACATGGACCCATTTCTTCTTTTAAATCTTAGTTGGTGACTTTAGCATCCAATGTGTCTCTAAAAAAAAAAGTATTATAACTGTGTTGGGTAGAAGCTTGTCCAAACGTTATGGCACCCCTAAAAATGTGCACTTGGGGTAGCAGACATCTCTACCTATTGAGAATATGATGCATCCCCTCTGATGAGTTGAGGCATTTCTTCCCTCACTAGCCTGTACCAACTACGTTCTACCAGCTACAGAGCTAACCTTTCTGTTCATACCACTACTGAATCATTACTTTCAATTGGAATACTAAAGGCCCTTTAATGTAATTTACCGGCTGGCCGTCAGTTTTGTATAGTTCGATCAAAACATCTATATCACTTTAGTAATCTCGTTGGGAGGTTATTTATATCCTTTAAGACAGGACAGGGAAAGTCTTTTTCGGGATTAAAAGGTGCCCATAAAGGCACAATAGGGAAAGTCACTCTCAGACTCTAAATTCCCCTTCTCATCCCGGAAATATTTATTCACTTAACTGACACTGTATCAATTACACTGCTGGCTACTATTGTTGCAACATTATCTAGCATTGTACCAACTAAGTGCTACCAGCTACAGAGCTAACCTTTCTGTTCATACCACCACTGAATCATTACTTTCAATTTGGAATACTAACGGCCCTTTAATGTCATTTACTGGCTGACCGTTATTAAGGTTGTATAATTTGACCAAATCCATTATGATGCAGTACGAAGTCAATATCTATATCACTTAAGAAATCTCAAAGGGAGGCTAATTATATCTTTCTAGATTGGACAGGGAAAGTTTTTTTTTTTTTTTTTTTTTTTTTTTTTTTTTTTTTTTTTTTGGGGGGGGGGGATCAAGGGGTGCCCACTCCGGCGCAATAGGGATATTCACCGTCTCAAACACGATACAATTATTCCCTTTACTGACATTGTATCAATCAGGGCCGGACTGGGAGAAAAATTCGGCCCGGGCATTTTTTTAACACAGCGGCCCACTAAAAAGGGGGCGGGGCATAGGAGGTGTGTTTTGTCATCACCAATGACAAACACGCCTCCTCTCAAAGTGAGCATGTTGGTTCAATGCTCTTCCAGGGCAGACCATGCGCAGAGCTCTGCTGAAGAGCTCTAGCATGAGAAAAAAGTCCTGTATTTGTTCTGCACAGTGCAAGCAAATTTAATAACATGCTTGCACTGTCTTTCCTTGCAACTTGTCTCTGGTGTCTCTATAAATGGATACCAGGAGACAAAAGGCCAGGAAAGAGTATTGTGCATGTGTTTGGAGCCTGCTTGTGGTATTGCGTGTGTGTAGAGTGAGCTGGTCGTGGTGTGGTATTGTGTAATAAGGTCGGTTTTAGTCGTGTTGTGTTTGTGGTGTAATGTGATGCATATGTGGCTCAGGGACCCCCTCCCGCCCGGCTCTGGAAAGGGGTTAAAACTTACCTTTTTCCAGCGCCGGGCGGGGAGCTCTCCTCCTCCGATCCGCCCCGTCGGCTGAATGCGCACGCGCAGCAAGAGCTGCGCTCGCATTCAGCCGGTCGCATAGGAAAGCATTTATAATGCTTTCCTATGGACGCTTGCGTGCAAAGCACGCAAGCGCCTCTAGCGGCGGTCAATGAGACAGCTGCTAGAGGTTTTGGGGGAAGGCTTAACCCATTGATAAACATAGCAGTTTCTCTGAAACTGCTATGTTTATAAAACAATGGGTTAACCCTAGAAGGACCTAGCACCAAGACCACTTCATTAAGCTGAAGTGTTCTGGGTGGCTAGAGTGGTCCTTTAAGAGTGTTGTGTGTGTGTGTGTGTGTATATATATATATACACACACACACACATATATATATTTGGAAGTATTGTGTATGTGTGTGGTGCAGTGTGTTGGGGGGGTTCTGTGTGTATGTGAGGGGTGCAGTATGTGTGTGTGTGTGTGAGGGTGCGTGTGTGAGTGATGGGTGTGAGAGTGCCCTGTGTGAGATGGGTGTGAGAGTGCTGTGTGAGAGAATGCTGTGTGTGTGTGAGAGTGCTCTGTGAGAGTGCTGTGAGAGAGTGCTGTGTGTGATGAGAGTGTGTGTGAGAGAGTGCTGTGTGAGAGTGCTGTGAGAGTGTGTGAGAGTGCTGCTGTGAGTGTGAGAGAGTGCTGTGTGAGAGTGCTGTGAAGAGTGCTGTGAGAGTGCTGTGTGTGATGGGTGTGAGAGTGCTGTGTGAGAGAGTGCTGTGTGAGAGTGTGAGAGAGTGCTGTGTGTGATGGGTGTGAGAGTGCTGTGTGAGAGAGTGCTGTGTGTGTGAGAGTGCTCTGTGAGTGCTGTGTGTGTGAAAGTGCTGTGAGTGTGATGGGTGTGAGAGTGCTGTGTGAGAGAGTGCTGTGTGTGTGTGAGAGTGCTCTGTGAGAGTGCTGTGTGTGATGGTGTGTGAGAGTGCTGTGTGTGAAAGTGCTGTGTGAGAGAGTGCTGTGAGTGTGATGGGTGTGAGAGTGCTGTGTGTGATGGGTGTGAGAGTGCTGTATAAATGTTATTGTGTGTGTGTGTAGGGGGGGGTAAATAAAAAAATAAAATAAAAAAAACAGGCATTATGTCCCCCCCTCCCTTCTTACCTTTAGCCTGGGAGGGGGGGACCGGCACGCTGGCAGGCAGGGTGGCAGTGTTCCCTGGTGGTCCTCGTGGGTGAGTGAACTCTAGCCTGTGAGGCTAGAGTTCACTCTCGCGAGATCCGGTCGTTGCCATGGCAACGTGCCAGATCTCGCGAGAGGAACCCGGCGGAGCTGCAAGTTAGAGCTCCGCCGAGTCCTCTCTCCAGCCTAGCTGGCTGGCTGGCTCCCTCCCCGCCGGCGGCCGCATGTGGGCCGGTCAGGGAGATCCTTGATCTCCCCACCGGCCCGTCGTGGCACAAAGTGGGGCCGGCGCTGGGAGAGTGCCGGCCCTGCATAGACCGGCAGGGGAGATCCTGGGACCTCCCCTGCCGGCCTCGGCCCATGGCCACCGCGGCCCACCGGGCATTTGCCCGGTGTGCCCGATGGCCAGTCCGGGCCTGGTATCAATTATACTGCTGGTTACAATTGTTGAAACATTATGAATACACACACAATTGTAGCTGGGTGGCTCACGATATTTCTGTACTCACAGCTATGAGCACAGATACATTGATTTGAGGTCTCAGTAGCCTCGACATCTTTATGCTAGTGTTAATTGTCTATTTACTTATCACGTTTTTGCACTCCTACTTGCAAGTGTTATCTGATGGTTTATAAAACAACCGCCATTACATTTTTCTTTCAGTAATAGTATGTCATTGGTAAGTCAGTCTTAGGTACACTCTGATATGGCAGGTTATTTAAGCTATTATACTATAGACCAAGCATGTCAAAGTCTAGCATGGGCCACATAAACAAGGTTTAAGTTCATGTGGGCCACAAAAAAACAAACCCTTTTTCATAGAAACGTAGGTTTTATTTTGAAAAGTACAGTATAAAAAAGCCCCCTCTACTAAAACCCAGTCCCCCCCTCTACCAAATCCCAGTCCCCCCCATATACTAAATCACAGTCCTCCCCTCTACTAAATTCCAGCACCCCCCTCTAGCCAACAAGCAGACTACAATCACATTGCCGCTGCCAGTGTGCGACTCTGGAGTCTGGCCTCTTGTATACCCCAAATGGCGCTGTCCGCACCCTGTGCCAAATCTAATCCTCCCACTACTTCTTGAAACCCTGTGATTGGGGAGCACATCAACGTCATCTACGGCATGTGACTTGCTGTTGTGTGCCTCCGTGCACCTCCAGCTACTCCAATGTCCAGTCGCAGACAGACACAGACACACACACATTCTTGCACACACAACATTTTCTTTACTGCTCCCTGCTTTGGGAGCCA